TAGGAATTTTGCAAATTGAATGAGGCATTGACAGGATGCCCTATGCCAAAATTTTTTGCTTGCATGCAGGGCCCTTTTTTTTTTTTGGACAGTTTTGGGGGGGGGAGTAGATTTGTCGTGGGGTTCGGTGGGGACCCCAGCCATGAGGTTATGAATATACAACGTCCAACAAACGAAACAATTGAGTTGTGTGGGAAAAATTTTTAGCTTTTTGGTAGAGCAACAGTAATCGGGTTAAAAACGAAAAACAAAAATTAAAGAGTTGGAGATTGGGCAGATAGGAGTAGGTATAGAGCTGTGGGCATGGTTGACTGGATTTAAAATAGGGTATACAGTATATAAAAGGTTGATGAACGAGGGGAGTAATTCGGGGAGGGTGGTAAATAGTGTTTTGAGGCATTTAAATAGTCTAAGGCCACGACATTTAACCCTACACCAGCAAGTGATAGTAATTAATGTTCTTCTTTATAGTAAAGTTTGGCACGTTGCTGCGCTGTATCCACTAATACAGGGGGATCTCAAACATCTTTTAAGTAGAGTTTATAGATTTCTGTGGGGCTCGGGGTGTGACTGGCTCACAAGAGCGGTGGTAGAGACACCAATGTGTCAAGGAGGATTAGGTCTTGTTCCTTTAAGAAGCCGAGTCATTGCTTGTTATGTAAAGCGTCGTTTTCTCCGACTGGGTGGTAGGCATGGTGGTATAACAGAAATGTATCGTGACCTGCGCAGGTGGTGGGGAAGGACAGATTTAATTAGGTGTGAAACGATGCTACGTGTGTTACTATGCATGCGAGATGTGCGGAACATTAAATTGAATGCTTTGGAAAGGGTGGGTATGGTGACAGTTGAGGTGAGAGTTCAGGGAATGTTCCCCGTGGTGTGATATATGGAAGCGGGTTCATCAGTTGCGTCTCCTTCCTCGAGTACGCAAAGTGGTTTTTAAATTTTTGCATGGGATTCTGCCGTCCAAGGTGGTGTTGTCTATTCGGCATGTAGAGGAGGACCGGAGTTGTTCAGCGTGCAGGGAGGACGAATCAGCGTTTCATATTATGTATTTCTGTGAAGCTTTGGGTATAGTACATGAGTGGTTAAGCAGGGATTTACGAATGATAGGGGAGGAGGTATGTCGGCACTTAGGGCATTGAGTTTTGATGTGGGTGGGGTTGACATCTCTGTGTAACGTGCTGTGTCATATGTCATAGCCAATTTTATTTATGTGTCATGGGCTATGAGGCATGTTGAAAGTAATGACAGAATCCGGGTTTTAGCGGGAACAATTCTTCGAACTAAGTGTCGAAATCAGTTGCTGTATGGGAGGAGATGGGAGAAAGATTTCCCGTCTGCATATAGAGCGTTAGAGTTACAGGATTTGAGATAAGTTGGGTTTCGTTCATTTGGTAATCTAACGGGCTGGTCAGCTGCGTTTAATTGTGTGTACATGTCTGTGTGAATGCTGTATGTATGTCTCCAATATGGCAGCAGCAGCGGCAGTGGCAGCGGCAACAGGAACCTTGTCCTCTATTTTTACTTCTACCTGAGGTTCCCAGCAGCCCAGTGATGACCTAATCATGACCCACATAACACTAACATGTGTGGATACCCAGAATGATATAAATCAACTGCAGAAATCACCCAAAAGTTTGCAAATTACCAACTAATAGGACTCGTACTATCACCTCCTACCCCGCTGCCACTGAAGTGATACTCCACAACATTCACCCAGCACCCATCGCCTACTATTCACCCGATGCCACAGCCAATGGACAAGGGTCAGAGCAATAAAAGAAGATCCAGTAACCAGCTAAGGACTCCTAACATCAAAGGTGAGAGCAGTAATAACACGAGGAAAACTTGTGGTACTGGCAGCCAGGACACAACCCTCATCACCCACCGGCATCACCACAACACACGACAGACAACAACAAACATGGCCGCCGCCACAGTCCAAGATAACTCCTTCCCAGTATTTGATGTCAAGAAGATCACCGACCCAGAAATAGCTAAACTCCTTACGATTCAGAACCAAACAATCACCAAACTAACTCAAGAAATGCAGGAACTAAAACCTAGCAATGCAGATTACCTCAACAAGGTGACTGCTCTTGAGCATAAACTAGACACTCTGGAACAACAAAGCAACACCCACACCCAGTCCCTAGACACCATCAACACTCTAAAAGGCCAAGTCACCCTACTTACTACCAACATTATAGAGGAAAGATCAAGAGTGGACCAGCAACTTGCCAATGCCATAACCAACTTCCAAGACCATAATGACCAACAGAAGCTATCTGATGCTGTTGTAGTTAACAGCAAACATCTCCCAGCCACAGTCACCCAAGAGACCTGCATGGAGACCATCCTACAGCTTATCAAGGACCACCTTCGCCTTAACATACGTAGTGATGACCTAAAGGATTGCAAACTGATGGGCTACCAAGCAGGTAAGAAAACAGTGCAGTTTATTTATTTATTTATTTATTTATTACCAATTTGAGCACACATACAGAGGTACAAAAAAAATACAGATAAGAGCAGCATGCCAAAGCCACTTATACTATGCATAGCATTACGGGCTGGCTTAAAATTAACTTAAGATTAACTAAGCAATGATGAAATCAGTGATAAAACATTAATGTAAACAGATTACTATAAAGCACAAGTGAGTGTTACAAAGACAGGTCATATGGTTGCATTCAGTCATATGAAGGATTCTGTTAGGTAGTGTATTTAAAAAATAATAAAGTTAGATTCGGTTTTAGGTTTAACATTTATGTGATATAATTGTGAGAAACATTTAAGATATACAATTTATAAGTTCAGTTATTCAGTATTTATTTGGTTTTGGGTGAGTAAGTGATCTTTGAGAAGAGACTTGAATTTATAAACAGGTAGTGTTTCTTTTATATTTACAGGTAATGAATTCCAGATTTTAGGGCCTTTTATGTGCATTGAGTTTTTGCATAGTGTGAGATGGACACGAGGAACATCAAAGAGTGATCTGTGCCTTGTGTTATGGTCTTTGTGTTTCTGTTGAGGTTGGCAAGGAGATGTTTGAGGGGAGGGTTAATATCAGAGTTAAGTGTTCTATGTATGTAATAGGTGCAGTAATAAGTATGGATGTTTTGTATGGTGAGTAGGTTTAGTGTATTGAATATTGGTGGAGTGTGCTGCCTGTAGTGAGAATTTGTTATCATTCTAACTGCAGCCTTTTGTTGGGTAATTAGTGGTCTGAGATGGTTAATTGTTGTTGAGCCCCATGCACAAATTCCATAGGTGAGATAGGGGTAAATAAGAGAGTGATATAGGGCCAGGAGGGCTGACTGTGGAACATAGTACCGTATCTTCGATAGTATGCCTACAGTCTTGGAAATTTTCTTAGAATTTGTTGTATATGTGTATGAAATTTGAGTCTATTATCAAGGTGGATTCCTAAGAATTTTCCCTCTGTTAGCTTTGTGATAGGTGATCCGTTTATCATTATGTTAAGAGGGACATCTGTAGCTCTGTTACCAAACTGAATGAAGTAGGTTTTGTCAATGTTTAGTGTAAGTTTGTTAGTCCTCATCCAGGTAGATATTTTCTGTAATTCGGTATTTACAGTATTGGCTAGCGTGACTGGGCTCGGGTGGGAGAAGACGTATGTAGTGTCATCTGCAAATAGTGTGGGTTTGAGTAATTGCGAAGCATTTGGAAGGTCATTTATGTTAAAATTCTAAACTAGCCTACAAAGAAACAACCTACTAAAAACATCTATTTCTATGAAAACTGATGTTTACGTCAATGAGTGCCTTACCATAACAAGACAAAACCTTATTTATCGGCTAAGAAAATTGTGCTATGCCCAAAAAATCCACCAGTGCTTTGTGAGGGATGGAAAAATCGCAGTTAGGAAACAGCCCACTGGGAAGAGATACTTCATCTCTACAGAACATGACCTTAAAACATTCCTAAGTGAGGCTGGACTAACAGAATCAGAGTAAAGTGCAGATAATACCCACAGTCCACCGTTAGTGTCATATTGTCATAAATTTGTGCCCCCCTAAAATTCTAATACCCCAACTACTTTTGATTGTCATTGTTGTATTCAATGACCATTCTACCTCATAGTCTTAATTGTGTTTAATGTCTACAGAATCTATCTCCTTTTTTACAACTTACCGCATCACTGTTCCATCTTATTTTTTTATAAACTAACCATAACTTGTCCTCAATAATTCTTCCTCACTTTAAGAAATGCTCAATTGCCCAATTTTATTCTAAAATCCCTATTATTGCCCAATTTTACTTTAAACTATATTGACCAAACTTATTGTAAACTTCTTTTATTGACCATTTTTATTCTATACTTTTTTATACTAGTATTTTCAACTACAACTTTTATATTATCCTGTCTACCATCTTACTAGCATATTATAACCAAGTCATTGCCATTTTTATTTTTATCATTTTTTATTATTCTTTTGCTACCTTAACTTGTGTATTTTATCCTGTCAATGTAAATCTAGTTATACTCTAATTCTTGTAAACAACTTATATAACACCTTAGTGCAATTACAATTGAGAGTCTTGTGCCTTTTTTATATTATTAGATTAAACTCAGTTGTACTATAGCTCATTCTAGCTCAATACATAGTCAATACCAAATTCACTATATTAGACCATAGTGCAATTACTAGTGAGAGACTGGTGCTATTTTTAATTTGTATTTTTATATTATTAGATTAAACTTAGTTGTACTATAGCTCATTCTAGCTCAAAACATAGACTCCACAAAAGTCATTATATTAGACCTTAAATAACAAAAAGGCACAATACCGTGACTGGAACGATACACAAATAACCCGCACATAAAAGAGAGAAGCTTACGACGACGTTTCGGTCCGACTTGGACCATTGACAAAGTCACCAATTGACTTTGTCAATGGTCCGAGTCGGACCGAAACGTCGTCGTAAGCTTCTCTCTTTTATGTGCGGGTTATTTGTGTATTAGACCTTAGTGCAATTACAAGTGAGAGTCTTGTTCTATTTTTAATTTGTATTTTTATATTACTAGTTTATACCTAGTTGTACTTTAGTTCATTCCAGCACAACACACAGACAACATCAACTTCATTATGTGTAGTAGTGACTATACCCTACATGACCAAAATACTCTAGCTATATACTTGTCCAAACTTCCCACCACTACAGATATCAGTAGTAGAACTCAACACACAACTCAGGATATAAATAACCATAATTTAAACCTAGAAGATGATTGATCATGTTGACCCTGATCTAAACCTCCATAATCTGACACCCAATCAAAACCTATTGGAAAGTAACTGCCTTTATTACACAGCATCACAAGCCAGCACTATCCTAAACAATGCTAAAAGTCTATCAGTACTTAACTACAACATAAGGTCCTTAAGCAAACACTATGATGACCTCCTAGCACTCCTTGAATCACTAAAGACACCCTTCTCCTGCATTATTCTTACTGAGACCTGGCTTAAGCAGGACACAATAGATATCTACCCTCTACCAGGATACACAGCAATTCACAACTGCAGACCAAACCAAGTTGGGGGTGGTATTGCAATCTATTACTCTAACCAATTATCTTGTATTAGCACCACTTGCTTTAGTGATGAATATGGGGAATACATTTTTGCTAATTTTACTGTAAAAAACCTTAAGACACCTATAACAATCTGTGCCATTTACCGGATACCTCACACAAACATCCCAAATTTCAGTGAGAAATTAAAGTCACTAATAACAAACAGACAAATGAATCAGCACCACCTTCTCTTAGCTGGAGACTTCAACATCAACCTTGGCTTACTAGATGATCAGCCTGTAACTGATTTCATCAACAATATGAACAACACACTTCTCATACCAACAATAACTAAACCAACCAGGCTCACTGAGACAAGTGCAACCATAATAGACCACATATGGATCAATATACTAGCCCCCCTTAAATCAGGGATAATCACAGATAGCACTACAGACCACTACCCTACCTTCCTCCTGACAAACATTAATAAACCACCACTTGAATACAACAAAGTCTCATTTAGACTCCATGACGAGGCCTCAATAAGGAAGTTCACAGCTGACCTAGAGACTGTTGACTGGCCTACAGAATTCTCCAAGGCCAATGGTATTTATGACTGGACAGACATTTTACTTAACAAATTACTTAGACTATACAACAAACATTGTTCTATAAAAACGAAACAGATCACAAACAAACGGCTTGGTTGCCCATGGCTAACCAGCACCATTCTGAAATCCATTGACAAGAAACACCAATATGAAAAGCAATATAGACAGGGCTTAATACACAAAGATATTCTTAAACACTATTCATCAGTTCTCACCAAAGTAATAAAGAAAGCCAAAGAACTATACTACTCCAGTAGTATAGTTGTTGGACTGCGTGCGGCCAGCAGTAACAGCCTAGTTGATCAGGCCCTGATCCATCGGGAGGCCTGGTCATGGACCGGGCCGCGGGGGCGTTGATCCCCGGAATAACCTCCAGGTAACCTCCAGGTATGCATGGTTTCTGTTTGCCTTTTTTTGTGACTGCATTCCTTACTTGTTCATGTTTTCCTGTCTCATTACTATCTTCAGCACTTTTACTAATACTAAAATTGGTGCCTTCACCAGTTATTTCTGGTATTTTATCTTCACTATCTCTTTGGGCATCCCTTTGTTTACTATCTCCCGTGGTATTGTTAGTTTGTAACATTGGTTTTTGTATGTCCTTGTCTACACCTGCTTCCCCACTAGAGTTCCTGTCTCCTTCCATGCTCCTTCCCACTTTCATTTCTGTATTCTTACTGTTACTGTCTACCAGGACAGCATCTGCACCAGGAGCAATAGCACCATCTGGCCAAGTCCTTTTATTTTCCAATCTGTTAAAGAAAGCTGTCAGGCTTTGTATGAAGGCTGTTTTGATATTACGATCTTTTAATACCTATGTGATTTTATTCCACAGTTGGATCTATTTTGGGCATACCCAGAAACACTTCCCTGGTTTAATATCTCTTGTAGATGATTCTTGAATATCTGCACAAGATGAATGGGACCATTTCCCACAGAAGTTGCATGTGGTCCATGCAGAAGCCAGTTTGATTGTTTGGTTGCAGACTACACAGGATTTCAGGTTGGATTTTTGGTTGTTATACCTTATTTTCTTCTAATATCCTATTTTGTATGTGTATCTGTTCGTATTTGTACGTTTATGTGTTTGACACAGTCTTTCCACCCCATCATCTTATGAATCCGGTCAGAAGATACCTTATTTTTCAAGGAATCCGTTTGTGTGTTTAGGCTTCTGTTAGAGAGATTAATAGTAACAGTTATCACTGTTGTTATAAAAAATTATCATTATTTAGTAAGTTACTATCTTGTACATCAATGTTTTCTGTTGGTAATAATGTTTGTTATATTAAACTTAATTTAAATGAACATTTGATATTCAGTGAAATACAGAGAAATTCATTCATTTTATTAACACTGTGTAAACATTGACAGTATTATGTAACACTGTGTAAACATTAAGAGTATTATGTAACACTGTGTAAACATTGACAGTATTATGTAACACTGTGTAAATATTGACAGTATTATGTAACACTGAGTAAACATTAAGAGTATTATGTAACACTGTGTAAACATTGACAGTATTATGTAACACTGTGTAAACATTGACAGTATTATGTAACACTGTGTAAACATTAAGAGTATTATGTAACACTGTGTAAACATTGACAGTATTATGTAACACTGTGTAAACATTGACAGTATTATGTAACACTGTGTAAACATTAAGAGTATTATGTAACACTGTGTAAACATTGACAGTATTATGTAACACTGTGTAAACATTAAGAGTATTATGTAACACTGTGTAAACATTGACAGTATTATGTAACACTGTGTAAATATTGACAGTATTATGTAACACTGAGTAAACATTAAGAGTATTATGTAACACTGTGTAAACATTGACAGTATTATGTAACACTGTGTAAACATTAAGAGTATTATGTAACACTGTGTAAACATTGACAGTATTATGTAACACTGTGTAAACATTGACAGTATTATGTAACACTGAGTAAACATTAAGAGTATTATGTAACACTGTGTAAACATTGACAGTATTATGTAACACTGTGTAAACATTGACAGTATTATGTAACACTGTGTAAACATTGACAGTATTATGTAACACTGTGTAAACATTGACAGTATTATGTAACACTGTGTAAAACATTAAGAGTATTATGTAACACTGTGTAAACATTGACAGTATTATGTAACACTGTGTAAACATTGACAGTATTATGTAACACTGTGTAAACATTGACAGTATTATGTAACACTGTGTAAACATTGACAGTATTATGTAACACTGTGTAAACATTGACAGTATTATGTAACACTGTGTAAACATTAAGAGTATTATGTAACATCTGTAAAACATTTACAGTGTAAGAAACACTGCGTAAAATATTTACAGTGAGTTTTCAATGTATTAAATTATTGTTAGTTATTTTTGGTAAAATAATTTAGTTATAACACCTCAGTGTTCAAACATTATTTATTAACTTGTTATAACAGTTATGATAGATATATTAACATTATTTATTAACTTGTTATAACAGTTATGATAGATATATTAACATTATTTATTAACTTGTTATAACAGTTATGATAAATATATTAACATTATTTATTAACTTGTTATAACAGTTATGATAGATATATTAACATTACAGTGAACTTAAAAACTAGAATATTTTAACACTCAAGAATGTTAAGAGTCTCAGTAAACATTGAACAATGTTATACAAGTCTCAGTAAACATTGAACAATGTTATACAAGTCTCAGTAAACATTGAACAATGTTATACAAGTCTCAGTAAACACTGAACAATGTTATACATGTCTCAATAAGCATTGAACAATGTTATATAAGTCTCGGTAAATACTGAACAATGTTATTCAAGCTTCAGTAAACATTGAACAATGTTATACAAGTCTCAGTAAACACTGAACAATGTTTCACATGAGCCTCAGTAAACACTGAACAATGTTATACGAGTGTCTCAGTAAATACTGAACAATGTTACACAAGAGTCTCAGTAAACATTGAACAATGTTAAGAGTCTCAGTAAACATTGAACAATGTTAAGAGTCTCAGTAAACACTGAACAATGTTAAGAGTCTCAGTAAACACTGAACAATGTTAAGAGTCTCAGTAAACACTGAACAATATTAAGAGTTAGTGAACATTGAACAATGTTTAGAGTCAATTAAACATTGAACAGTGTTTAGAGTCACAGTAAACACTGAGCAGTATTAAGAGTCAGAGTAAACACTGAACAATGTTAAGAGTCAATTAAACAGTGAACAAATGTTAAAAGTCACAGTAAAATTTGAACAAATGTTAAAAGTCACAGTAAAAATTGAACAATGTTAAGAGTAACAGTAAACAATGAACAATGTTAAGAGTAACAGTAAACAATGAACAATGTTAAGAGTAACAGTAAACACTGAACAATATTAAGAGTCACAGTAAACACTGAACAATATTAAGAGTCACAGTAAACACTGAACAATATTAAGAGTCACAGTAAACACTGAACAATATTAAGAGTCACAGTAAACACTGAACAATATTAAACATTAAATGTTAACTCTAAGATGAACAATATTGTTTATAATTTTAAAATTACAGTGAAGTAAAAAATAAGATGGATAAAATATCCAGACATGTTGAAGATGTTATCCTGGATAACTGGTAGGAAAATTCTGGCTAACTGGTTTGAAAGTTATCCTGGCTTACCGGTTTGAAAGTTATCCTGGCTTACTGGTTTGAAAGTTATCCTGGCTTACTGGTTTGAAAGTTATCCTGGCTTACTGATTTGAAAGTTATCCTGGCTTACTGGTTTGAAAGTTATTCTGGCTTACTGGTTTGAAAGTTATCCTGGCTTAATGGTTTGAAAGTTATGCTGTCTTACTGGTTTAAAAGTTGTCCTGGCTTACTGGTTTGAAAGTTATCCTGGCATACTGGCTTGAAAATTATCCTGGCTTACTGGATTGAAAGTTATCATTGCTTACTGGTTTGAAAGTTATCCTGGCTTATTGGTTAGAAATTTATCCTGGCTTATATAAGTTATCAAGGCTTACTATTATGAACAAAATATCCAGGCTTACAAGTCTGAACAGTTATCCAGGCTTAGTAGTTTGTACAAGTTATCCAGTCATGCTGATCTAGACAAGTTATCCAGGATTGATGGTCTGGACAAGTTATCCAGATTCCTGACCTAGACAAGTTATTCAGGCTTCCTGATCCTGACAAGTTATCCATACTTCCAGACCTGGACAAGTTATCCACACTTCCTGACCTGGACAAGTTTTCCACACTTACTCTTGTTGCAAGACTTTCACATCCACCTGAGGAAAATTATAATTCATTTTAATACTTAATACACAAAATACTTAAACAAATAAGCTGAAAACAACTTTACTGAAGCAAAACAAAACAAATCACTGTAGCTATCTGTGTAATATAATGTTAATGCAGTAGCTACCTCTACAAGGTAATGTTAATACAGCAGTAGGTACCTGTATACTGTAATATTAACATAGAAGGAGACTGTACACTGTAATGTTAATATAGAAGGAGACTGTACACTGTAATGTTAATACAGAAGGAGACTGTACACTGTAATGCTAATACAGAAGGAGATTGTACACTGTAATGTCAACCACAATATATTATGTAATAAACTTCAAGCTATCGGTATAGGTTCTGTAGACTGGTTTAAGTCCTACCTTAGCAACAGGAGACAAATAGTCAAAATCAACAAAACGGAATCAGAACCCCTGCCGATAACATGTGGAGTTCCCCAAGGTAGTATTCTGGGTCCCTTATTATTCTTATGTTATGTCAATGATATGCCTATCAGTGTCAAGTGCAAACTCCTACTGTATGCAGATGACAGTGCTCTGTTAGTGACAGGTAAAGACCCACAAGATATTGCTAATGTTTTAACACTGGAACTGGAGTCCTGCAGCAAATGGTTAGTAGACAACAAACTATCATTACACCTAGGGAAAACTGAAGCCATTCTCTTTGGCACGAAACATACACTGAGAAGGGTAAATAATTTTAATGTTCAGTGTAATGGGGAGTCCATCACTTTGGTTTCATCAGTAAAATATCTGGGAATCCCCTTTGACCCATGCATGTCAGGAGAATTGATAGTGAACAGTGTAGTAAAGAAAGCGAATGCCAGACTGAAGTTCCTGTATAGACAAGCACAGTGTCTACCTACTTGGGCTCGCAGGACCCTATGTCTAGCCCTTATACAATGCCATATGGATTACGCTTGCTCTTCATGGTACTCTGCCTTGACAAAAAAACTGAAAGATAGACTGCAAATCACCCAGAACAAAATCGTAAGATTCATCCTGGGGCTGGGACCAAGAGAACATGTAGGCCAGAATGAATTACAGCAGTTGGATATGCTGAA